ATCTCTAGGTTTTCTTACTGTAAGGAAAAGGATTCTTTTTTGCTGTCTGCTTCTAATGGTTAGATGGGCTTATATTATAATTACAATCTATGGTTGCTATGCTGAAGTAGAAATCTGCGTCAGACTGGGAAATTGTGCGGCCAGTCAATTGTGTGGTATTTTTAGTAGCAAGCTTTTTCCCAGAAATGATTTTGAAATTTGAATCTGAGTGAATTTCTACACTGTTTGTAATTCCGTCAGAATTGGAAGACCTCGAGGACTGTAAATTTTCACTTGTTAAAAGCAAGCTTAACCAGCTGCAAGTGAATAGACTGAAAGGTTAAAGGCAGTGGTTCACTGAACTCCATAGGAGACTGTGTGGGGCAAGTTTCCAGTGTTACTGAGCTGTCTTCCTGACCTTTCCATCTTTTTTTTTCTTCTTTTTTTAGCAGTGGAAGGTGTTTTCCACTCATGCACAGTCACTGGCTGAAGACGCCCTATGCTCTTTGTTCATCACAGAGTAGAAAGAGAAAGCACTAACACAACCTCCTTACCTGGTGCACAGGTCAGGATGCAGCTGTATATTTCAATGTGATAACATTAAAATACCATATAGCAATATTCTCACTGTTGGCTTCTGCTGGAAGATAATAAACTCATGACCGAAATTGAACCTCTTAAGTGGAAGCTCTGCTTGGCTGGTCATGGTGTCCAGTGCCTGTCAAAAGGAACCACAACACAGACATTTCTCTACCTGCCTAGACTGAGGACTTGGCAGATCTCCTGTGCTAAACAGGGTAGATCTGATCGGTACGTGAGTGGCAGATCTCCAGTGAAAAGCTGAGGAAGAGCTGTTGCCAGTTTTTAAGAAGTCACTCTTTCTAGAAAGTCTGCTTGGACTGTGACCTGAGCCTGTTTCCAGGCGCCCGTGAGCAGTGAGCGGGGCTGCCTTCCCCGCGAGGCAGCCAGCGACCCAAAGGGACACACTCCAGCCTTCCTGTTGGTGAGCTGTAAGGGTTGGCATCGTTAACATCAGAACTCGTGTCACCTTCCGTGCACTCCCACGTGAAGCAGTGCCTGAGAGCCGCCTGACTGTCCCTGCACAAATGCAGTTACTCATCAGAAACTTGAACTCAGGCGGCCACTTCGCTCTGGGTCTCCTTTGCCCGTTGTTCCCTCCGTATCGCGTTCAGGCGTAACCGCTCTCTCAGACGCCTACTTGCGACTCTCCCAGTGCCTCGAACCATTTGAAAGGATGGCAGAAGGGAGTGTAAACGTGTCCGTCCGGTTGGTGAAGGAGACTTTGGGGAAGAGTTAATACGTTCTTTGGGTGTCGCATTAGAACCTGCGGTATCACACCCAGGGCTTGGCTGGGGACAGAGGGGCAGCTGTGCCTGTGGGGAGGAGAGGCCGGGTCAGGTGACCCAAGTGGACCAATCACAGCGTTTCTTCCCAGGTGCTCAGGAGGAAAGGGCCCTAAGGAGGCCCCGCCCACCCCCCGCGGCGCCCCCCCCCCCCCGCCCCCCCGCCAGTCCCCTCAGCTTGTCGGGACAGGTTGTCTTCCCCTGCCCCCCCACCCCGGCTGGGCGCGCTACAGCTGCTCCAGAGTTTCCTTTTCTGTGTTTTTGGGGGGCTGTTGCTGGGACTCTGGGCTTGGGCGCTCCCGTCTGGGATGTTTCTGCTCAGGGCCTGCCGCCCTTTGGAAGACCTGGGTTCCGTACAGACGGACTCTCTTGGATCTCGGAATGTATTTGACATCCTTGTGTATATCTGCATGTAGTTTCAACAGCAACCAAAGGTTTACTCAGAGAGAGATAAAAGAAAAATTAGTGCTTTCCAGGGCATGGGGTGGAAGTTTTGAAGATAGACGTGTGTATTGAGAGGAGCTGTCTACATGGGAGTGCCTTCCTTTTTTGCTTTGGAACTGGAGCTGAGTAAGGGCCGGGTTTTTTTTCCTTTTGTTGCTGAACCTGGAGCTTGTTTGAGCCAGTGAGAGTTTGGAGGGCCCCGCACACCTGCAGAGCGAGGTTCAGACTCTACTGCGGTCGCTGCACAAAGGTGGATATTGGATGTTTGATAACGGGAGTACCTATACCCGGTGGAAGGATTTTGCAGTCAGCAAAGCTGCACAAGTGTGACAGTGAATTTGATGTCAAATGGAGTGCTTAGCTAACAGCCTCTTGGCTTGCACTTCTGGGAGAACCGAATCTCTGTGTTGGCTTGCAGAAATGAAGGATAATTTTCAGTTAATTCCAAAATAAGCATTCTGTACATGCACATGACTTCGTCTCAGAGGAAGCATGCCTATTTAAACGTGTATTTAAGCAAATGTTTAATGATTGGTGAAGTCATGGAACTAAGAATACTTAATTCCCATCCTCAGAGCAAGCCAGAGAGGAACATTTGTTTGGGTAGGATTCTGCATTTTTTAACTGTCTTTTTAAAGAGTATGACAGGATGTCTAGGATATGGTTAGTATTGAACAGATTTTGAAGGACACTTCAGAAAGTGAAACCAAAGTTCAGAAGTGTAGTTGAGTTACACAGAAAGGGTGAAGCAGATTTACAGTCCTGCAGTGAACAGTGCTGTGGAGTTACCGGGTAAAGAGGAGGCCAAAAAGCTGAAACATACGCAGTAGCATTATTCTTGTTGCTCCTTTTTCTTTTGATTTTTGAAGTCTTTAGTTTCCTTTGAAGAAGAGCAACATGAAGTATGGTATGCTCAAGTCTTTTTTTATTTAAAAAGGGTCCTTAAGCACAGTAGCTTTTCTTTAAAATGTGACATATAAATAATAAAATACGTGATGGCACAGTACAGAGATTATCTTGGCATAGGTCTGGGATGACTGCATTGCTTACAGAGCATTTGACATGTGAATAATGTGATCATCGCACAAGTGTGCCAACGAAAACTTCATACCCCCCCCCTCCCCCAATACATGTATAAGTTTATTAGAGTGTTCTGTTTCAGCACATTTTCTAGTACCGGATCAAGGAAAAGTTTCAGTATTGTGCCATACTGTTGGTGTATGTTGTGCCAGAAGTGCCTCAATGGACAAGTGAGTCTGTGGGGTTTGTGATGTAGTGAAAGCAAAGTGAGAACAGTGTTAAGAAGGAAAGGTCTCGCATCCTGTTCCTTGGCCCTCCTGACTCTTGGCTGCCCACTCCTTTTTCATTTGCTCTGGATGTTCATCCTATCGCAAGGACGAACTCGCTCACTAAAATGGCAGATAAATACCCTGGCAAACAAAAAGGAAGAAGTGAACATTTTCTTCTTTGCTATTAAATTGAAAATTGCTTTGTGTCCTGGTGAGCAGGACAGCCAGCAGTGGCTTCACAAAGTTGTGTTTGCCAGGCCCTTTCCCGTCTGCTTTTGGCTCTTGTAAGTGCCCGCAGCTGCCCTGGGGGGAGCAGAGGGGTGTGATGGGTTTCTTGGGTGTTTGCTGTTGGCAGCATTGCAAATTGTATCTTAAGAAGCTTGGCCTCAGTGTAAAACCAAACAATGCTGTTATCTACGATGTCTGCGTTCACTGCGGTGGTCGTAAATGCCCAGTCCCAAAAGGTGCAACCTATGGTTAAGCTGGGCAGGGTGGTGGTAGCTGGTGGAAGATTGTCCAGAGCTTGCAGTCAGTTGCAGAAGAGTGTGAGGGACATCGCTGCAGGGTTCTGAAGGTCTTTAACTCCTGTTAGATAGATGAAGATTGGACGTACAGGCTTTTCAACTTAGTCCTGTTGATACAGTCCGTAAAGCTCTCGGGCACCACCGCGCCTGTCTACAGGCACAGGGATGAACGGGCTGACGTGAGCACGGAGGAAGGACTGTGGTCTTGGTAAAGGTCGCAGACTCCATCACATCGTTGGTAGCTCACGTCACGCGGCCTGAAGAAGACACGATGCTCTGCAGCACCACCACCACTGTGGTTACGACTCTGTGATCTGATAGAGCTTATGTGGGATTTTGAAACAGAAAAATAAAGCTGATCATGCTACTGAAAGTGTTAGAAAGCAGGAGGGAGCTGTGATCAGAGGGAGGGAGGAGGAGCAGGGGGAAGAGCAGAGAAATTCCTCTTACTTTTAGCAATGGCAAGCTGTTAATTTATTCCAGTAGCATCGTGTAACCGCATCCACAGAGTACTGTGTAGGATTCCTTTCTGCTTTCCTCCTGTGTCGAGTGCAGCTGAAGACAGGCCATTAAAGATTATTTTTCGGAGTGGAGTCTGTTCTTAGTGCAAGTAGAAGAATCATTTTGGTTCCTGTAAAAAAAACAACAAACCCAAACAACAAAACAGACAAAAAACAAAAAAAAGTTTTTGTCAGTCTGTGAAGTCGTGACCAGTTGTAACTGCAGAAACCGCAGCTGCTTAGAGATCAGAACAATTAGGAAATAATTGTGTATATATACCTCTGCTCTGTGGTGTTGGCAGTGTTTGCCTTAATGCTTTCTGTCAATAGAAGAAAGTACACGTTCAGAGGTGCAGGCAAGACTCTTGCTTATGCTGTCAGAGAAGGGCACAGTGTGGGTGCTACAGTCTGTTGTTTATCAGAATTCCGTGATACTGAAAAATTTAGTGAAATTTAGTGCTCTTGTGCTTCAGATCAGTGGGGATTTATCCCTGCAGCACCTTTCTCTGTGGTACTGTTTCAGCCAAAGGAAGGAAGTGTATAAATTGTGTGGAAATTACTAGGAAAATAGATTTCCTATTTGCCTATAAAGAAAATTATGCTTTTTGTAAGGAACATCAGATTGTTCATTGAAGAATGAAGCTCTTCAGAACAGTAATTTCATTTAGGCAACTGTACGTATCAACATGCTGTTCCTGGTATTTCATCTTTTAAACAGTAACCTTTTTCCTGCACTTCTTGCTCTTACCCCTCTCAGTTTCTGCAGGTAGTTCAGAAATTTCTGGATGTTGAATTTGCTGATGGTCAGAGTGGAGGGTTGCCTGGACACTGTGCCTTGGGCTGTTTTCTGCCTTCCAGTAGCTATGAAAATTAATTTCCCTTCCCCCTCTCTATTTGCAGGTTATCTTGACGAATCAGATTACCACATCATTGAGCAATGGCCTTGCGATCCAGGCAGACCTGGTGTCTCCAGCTGATGATTTCTCCCTGTCTGAAGGTAAGAGATCCGTTCTGTCAGGACTGAAACACTACACTGACACAAATCCACATTGTAACTCCCAGTCTTCTCTTGATATACAGGGCTCTGTGAGAGTCAGGTTATCAAGCCTAACATAAATCAACCAGGGAACAAAATTGTTTTTCAGTTTCTTTGAAAATAAAGGAAGTGTTCTAAGTAAAAGGTTCTGGCATATTCCAAGTCCTGCAAAGGGATTTTGAAGCCGTGTTTGGGTCTATAACATGTTCTTCAGCATTGTACTTTCATTCACATTCGTTTAGAGCATTATTTTCTCAGTCTTCTGAAGGTGCTGCTAGAGCTAATACACAGGCAGGCTGCAGATTTGATCTTCTGATTATCAGTGATTCCAAAGAGAAACAATGGTTGCAAATGCGTGAGAGCAGATACTCAGCCCTGTCCCTTGCATTATGCTGCTCTGGTTTTCAAGTACAGTACCTCAGGCTTTTAATACTGTGGGATGTAATATGGAGTTTTGTGTGATAATAGTACTTTACATCTTAGTGTTTCCTTTTTTTGCACAGAATTAGAGACAAGCACAGATTTTTGGGGTAGTAGTGAGACTTACTGTTCTAAGAAGAAAACATATTTATGAATCAAGATTTGCAAAATAGTATAATTTTAGTTCTCCCCACTTGGAAAGAATAGTACAAGTCAGGGAGAGATGCAGAGAAGTTTGCTATTTAGATTTCAGTTCATGCATAGACACAAATATATGATATTCAGCAGTGTTCTTCTTTCCTGCAAAGGCATGACAATTGCATGTAGACTTCCTACGTTGTATAATATGGGTGTTTCTCCTTGTTGCATTTTCTGGTGGTTCTGGCCAGTTTATCTTTGTTCTGGTTGATGACAAGCAGCCCTCTCAAGCTTGTCTGACAACACAAGAATAGCTTGGTGCCAAAACTAACGACACAGTGGTTAAAACTGACATTATTTCTGCAACTCATTTTTGCAATGGACAGGAGGAAGAGGATGAAGAAACGTTAAACAGAATGTCTAAGAGGAGCAAATAACTTCAGTGGGATGCTCCTAACACTGATTGATGTATTTACTTCATAATTTTGTCAATAAAAGCTTGGGCAAGGTATGGCCCATTAAATTGTTTTGGAATTGTACTTGTGGCTTTTGTTGGCTCCATCCATTGCCAGAGTATCTCTGAAGTTCATTGCTTGAATATTACTCCCTACTTCTGTTAGAAAGAGTTGAGACTTGGTAACTAGATTTGGAAGAGGAAGGCATCGTTTTTCATTTTTATGATTTCCTTCTTGGCACGAAGTTGTTGCATGTTGTCTCATTAAATGCTCTTGATTGCAGCACTTGTGCTTTTCCTTGTCCTCTGGAATTGCTCCGTATGAGCTTCCGCTGAAAAGAAAGGCATAGCTGGCTCTGAAGTGGAAGTAATAAGAAAATATGTTCTAAGTAAAACATATTTTGTTCTTGTGGTTAAAATATTTGAAGAGTCTCTGGGAAAAGCATGGAACGGTTGTAATCTTTCTAAATTTTTCTGCAAATGTGAAATTCTCAGTGCTGCGTATGAGCTATAGTTCAATAATATTCTGAAATCATGACTATGTAAGAGATGATATCGTGATTTCTGTAGCGCTTACAGCTTATTAATTAAGTTGCCGTTTTGTTTCTAAAGTCTCTACCACCATTGTCTTTCATCTTTTAATCCAAAAATGAGTTGGTGCTCTGTGTGTGTGTTGTTTTTCTTTATTTCTCTCGTTCCTTGTTTTACATTGAGGATCTGAAGTGGTAAAATGTGCCAGCATGACACTTGTTGAAAATGGAAACCTTTGTTTAGCCTCGAAACAGGAACAGCCCAGGCAGCCACAGTATGAGCTCTTTCAGTAATTCAGGTTTTCTCAAGCGGTGTCAGGGGGTTAAAACTTCCCTTCTCTCCTTCCTTCCCTCTTCTGTCAACTACCTTTGGCAGGTGTGGCATTCACATGCTGTGTTGGATAACAGGAGAGCACAGGGCGGCTTCACACTGCGTGGTTCTCTCCTTCTATCTTTCTCATCCATAATATGTCCACTTTTGGATTTCCAGTTGGCTCCACTTTAAGCCTGCACTGTCTACTTGCGAGAAAATATGGAATTTCAGACCAATTCAGGATTTGATTTCTATGCTTATGTTGCTGTCAAAAGACAAGGTGTGAGCAGTGTTTTTCTTTTGTAACATTGAGGTACTGACGTCTCCTGAGATAGTCCCCTCTAATTTATGTTAGCTATTAAACATCCTGAAAATACCTATACTTGAATCTTCTGACAGTCTCAGATACTTAAGAATCCTCAATGAATTTGAATTGCACTAATCATGCAAGACTATATTTCTTCTTAGTTTAACTCTGTGGAATTTGCATGAAAGAATAGTTAGGGGAGTAGCCCAAGTGCACAAAGTGGATGGATGTGTTGCAGAGGCAGAAATAGAGGCCAGACTCTTGCCTGGGTTTTTACCTCATTCTTCCTTTTCGTTCATCACCAGCCAAAGCTGAGTTTGAACCAGTGACCTAGATGTGAAGGGACCCATAACACATTATTAGTCCTGTAAGCAACTCAGACCCCTTGGTTTGTGTACGTCTAATATGTTGTTTTAATCCCATCTGAAATCAGAGTCCCATCACTTTAAACAGTTTGCTAGATGGGTAGTCTTTCTTAGCCAGATGCAGACATGAAAATTTCAAACTGCACATGCTGTTGAAAAGAAGTGCAGTGTTATGGTGGCTTTTGGTTTTGCTTCTGATTGTGCTTTAGAAGGGAATTTCTTGGGTTATATGTTAGGCAGGAAACCAAGGAAGCTGTTCGTCTGATGTGTGACAGAAAGTTAATCTGATGAAAAAGCTGAAAGGACATTGTCAAGCTGTTTTAGGCTTACAGCTTGTCTTCTGTAAAATTGTAATCTACTGCATGAAAACTTGTGTCCTAAAAGTGTGATAGATTTTTATGAGAACATTGAAGACTTTATAAAAGCAGCACTGGCTGTAAAATCCTACCACTTACGTGGCAGTGTAAGAATCCTTGAACTGTTTGTTGGTATTTCTTGTAGGAAATGCTTATATCCAGCCAAATTTCCAGATCTGGACATACTTCTGCTTCAAGACCAAAAAAAAAAACTGGTTAGTTTGCTACAAATTAAAGTGCTGAATAAAATACCAAAGCTTCTCTACCTGTGGCCTGAGTCTTTGTGTTCATTTGGCCCCTACGTACTTGCCAGTTTATCATCTGAAAGAGTTAAGACAAATAATGTTTTTCTGCAGCTCTAAAACTCTCAGGCAGGTAAGGCTGTCACTTCTTCCCTAGGGACCAAACTCAGTTTTTATTTGTGGCTGCACCATTCTTACACAGCCATATCGCAAGCCTTGTCTTCAAAGAGGCTAGGCTGAAGGGTGATGTGACTACTACTATTTCACTTTTGTCCTTCCTTTATGGTATAGCCTCTGTTTTAGCTCTTCCAGTCAAAGACAACTCTTAAAGTTATTTTAGGTTGCAGAGATGGTCAGACGAGCCAGCAACTATCACCGGGCTTGAAGATGTGGCCTGAAAAATTAATGCTTTGCTTTTTAAATGTGTAAAAAGTAGATCTTACCCTAATTAAAATAATTTCTTTTAGTAATTAAAATAATAGATTTGAGCAGCATTAAACTAAGTGAACAATACAAATGGAGTGTAACTGTCCACAGCAAAATATTTTGTATTACTGTTAATGGGTTTTTTTAACAACTTTTTTGTGTCTGTGAGTGAATTTTACCAATAGAGTCATTAGAAAGTAATTCTAAGCCTGTGTGTTTGAGCACTAGCTGCAGAGAGAATTCTGTGTGCTGCGAAGGGATGGGACAGCATGACCTCCTTGAGGTCCCTTCTATCTCTCCAGTGTCTGCCCCCTTCATGTATCTGCCAGCTGCAAGCTTGAACTGCCTCTCGCAGGCATCAAAGCCAAACTCCATCTTTCCTGGAAAAAGCTCAGGATATGAACAAGAACAGCATCCCGCTCCAAACATGCACAAAGCATCGAGCAAAAAAAAATAAAAAGGGCTGTCTCGGACTTCTTCAGTCTCAGCTAGCACTTTCGTGTAATTGTTTGGAAAAGTCAGAATCATTTTGTGTTTAAAATTGTCTGTAAACTTGTGCTTGCTCTGGGGAGGCCAGCGTTCAATCTTCTGCCATTTGTGCTCGTCAAGCGCTTTGTCATGGCACTGTGTATTTTTAGTGCATGGTGTGAGCAATGAGTTTAGTCTGACCTTTTCATCTTTGTTGCTGTGATCCTGAATTCTTTTAAGCTGTTGAGCAGAAGTAGGCTTTCGTGTTGTGGAGACTGGAGAAGACTAAGCTACCATAACAACTCCCACCCACAGGATTTTCCTACTTTAGTTTAGGGGCAGAAGATTTGAAACTGGAATCTTTGGCTTCTCTTTTTTTTTTTGCTTTGCCCTTGATCTCCTCTAAGATTGTGGTTAAAAAAAAAATCTATTCTTCAAGCCTCAGTTTACTTTTTTTTTTAATATGAGGATATATTTTTATTTTGGAACTTTTTTCTTTCTTAGTACTTTGGGATAGTCCTATGGGAAAAATAATGAATTGACCTGCTGTTCATCCCACAGTGAGATCAGTTCTCTAGTTTACTACTTCTCTCCCTTCACATCTCTTTCTCCAGTCCTGGTACCAAATGCAGAGAAAACACTGGAGGAATTACCAAGAGAACTGAGGGGCCCCCAGAGATCAGAAGCAATTGGTTGGGTTTGATTTGTTTGGTTATTGATTTATGTATACACTTATGCCTAAGGCTGGGCCTGCAGGTGACTTAATAAAAATAAATAAGAAAAGAATATTCTATGTGAACACAAACATACTTGTTTTGCAGGTACTGTGAACTTATGAATGAAGTAACTGTAAAACAAGTTTCTAAACCACTTCCTTCTTGTAGTTTTAAAGCTAATGCAGACTAATGCATGTCCTAGTGAGGTGCTCCAGCATGATAATAA